AATCATTGGATTTAATGTTCAGAATCTGTGTTTCTTATTGGAAACCGGCAAGAAGTGGAGCAGTCTTGAAAATAGTTTCGATAAAGCAGATAGGCGGGCTTTTGAATCGGAGCACAGTTGGATAGCTTGAACTGGCTGTGATTTTGCCATTTGCTGAGAGGAGGTCCACTCTAAACTAAACCATACAGAAAAATGGTGGGCATGGCATGAGGGTTTTCATTACAGTTGGTTGTGTATCAATTTTAGTAGACAACAAAACAAACACTGTGAGTACCAATATTTCTAAGAACGTGGCGGGTCCATGGCATACACCAACACTCGTCAAACACCGCCCGATCATGTGTTGGCTATGTCTAAATGTATCTTATTAACTTAAACTTTTTTTTTTAAGACGTGATTTGAATACTTAGAGATACACTTGTCTATCGTTTAGATACGTTAAATATGTAAAAGTATAAATTTTACACAAATTCTTCACGTATCATGTCGTATATTTTTTTGAAAATTTTCATGTTAATGCGTCCTTATCATGCCCGTATCCATACTTGTTAGGGTAAAAAGTGAAAATTATGTCTCGATTAACAAGTGTATGCCTTTACAAGTAGCACAAAACATTTGAAAGGCAAATTTTCAATCACTCAGTTTATTAATTTTAGGTCTTTTGCTTGTGATATCTTCTATTGTGGAATTCAGCTTGGCAGGTCAAAGTGGAATGGAAATGTTGGGAGCTCAGGGATAGTTGTGAGAGTTGAAACTCCACTCAGCAATGTTGGTGGGCCTGGGCCTTCATTCTCTGTTCAGTTGAATAGTGGTATTGAGTTTTGATTATACTGCACCCATACTGTGCAGTTAAAAAATTTGTATATGGAGTAATGGTCTTGAGAGCTCAGAAATATACAGTAGTGTTCATGTGAACGTTCAACCAATGTTTATATGAACAGTTGATTTTTGTCCCCTCGCCCATGGTAAATATGTTTGGATTCTGAAATTCTGGTGGTAATGCTTTGTCTAATCACATTGAGGGAGGCTGAAGAATTGCAATTATGAAAAATAGTGACATGGTAAATTATAATTACATGAAAATATGTCAACTTGTGTATTCATGAAAGTGCATAGGAGAGGAAGCACACTGGGTTGATTGATAAATGGACAAAATAATGTGAAAGAGAATTGATGGACAAAATGGTGTGAAAGAGAACTGTTGGAAAGAGAGAGAGAGAGAGAGAGAGGGAGTACCCCTGGTTATTTATTTATTTATTTATAGGTCCTGCTAACTATCGCTTCTTAAAACAGTTTAGAATTTTAATACACATTTTGCAATTTTTATACATTATGTATTATATATATTTCAAAATTGAATACAATTTTGATTCATATATTTACATTAAACACTAGGCATTTTATTTATATTGACAATTTCATTTCAAAAAGAAAGATTAAAAAACAAAAACATTTCCATGGTGGTTCATTCATTCTTGAAAATTATTAGTTATTACAAACAAGTTACACTGACACACCTCGAAAACTGACTCTGCTAAAACAGATGCACAAGATTTCGGGCTTTTTTCCAAACTAAATCTCTTTTGCCTTTTATTTTTTAAACAACAATGCTACAGACTCCCAGTACGAACGACCCCCACCGACCCCCAGTGCCACGTGTCGGCCTGGGATTGGCCGGAAACTTAAAAAAAAAAAAAAAAAAAAAAAATGCTCTAGCAAATGAAAATACTGTCGCTATGGCTATTATTAATCCTGGCAATCCTTGTGGGAATGTCTTTACATATCAACATTTAAAGAAAGTTGCTGAGACTGCAAGAAAGCTTGGAAGATGGTTCTCTTCCAATCCCATATGATATTCTTAAGCTGAGGAAGCTCAGATTCAAGAGTGAGGGATGCGGCATAAATCTGAGGAATGCCAGCACCGAATTGGTGCTCTGCTCGCGGTTCTATTGTCACTTTCAAGCAGGCAGTTGGCTTTTATCCTTCACTGAAATCATTGGATTTAAATTTAATGTTCAGAATCTGTGTTTCTGATTGGAAACCGGCAAGAAATGGAGCAGTCTTGAAAATAGTTTCGATAAAGCAGATAGGCGGGCTTTTGAATCGGAGCATAGTTGGATAGCTTGAACTGGCTGTGATTTTGCCATTTGCTGAGAGGAGGTCCACTCTAACCTAAACCATACAGAAAAATGGTGGGCATGGCATGAGGGTTTTCATTACAGTTGGTTGTGTATCAATTTTAGTAGACAACAAAACAAACACTGAGTACCAATATTTCTAAGAACGTGGCGGGTCCATGGCATACACCAACACTCGTCAAACACCGCCCGATCATGTGTTGGCTATGTCTAAATGTATCTTATTAACTTAAACTTTTTTTTTTAAGACATGATTTGAATACTTAGAGATACACTTGTCTATCGTTTAGACACGTCAAATATGTAGAAGTATAAATTTTACACAAATTCTTCACGTATCATGTCCTATATTTTTTTGAAAATTTTCATGTTAGTGCATCCTTATCATGTCCGTATCCATACTTGTTAGGGCAAAAAGTGAAAATTATGTCTCCATTAATAAGTGTATGCCTTTACAAGTAGCACAAAACATTTGAAAGGCAAATTTCTAATCCTATTTTACCTTAAATAGAAAACTTCTTGAGAATTCACTCAATGTATCACTAACAATAAACATGAATCCAACAAGAAAATGAACCAAAAACTAAAGAAGAAAACAAGCATCACAGCGTTCAAACAATAAATAAAGCCAAAACAGTAATCAAAATCGTCAGACACACCATACCTGAAATACCCCAAGTTTCCTGTTATACTCAGATTCAGGCATTGTCAAAGACACAGTCAACTGCAATTTGTGATTATAAGGAATAGCACGCCACCCAACGCTCTCCACAGTTTCTACACTCTTCCTAGAAACCATGCTGGAGAACATGCCTGCACCGGTAGAGGCCATAACGGGCACAAAAGCAACCGGGTTGGCTTTGGTGTAATTGAAATTCAAGGTCTCAGTGGTCTGTATTGGCTGTTCCAGTAGCCTTCTCATTGCCAGACCACCAAGTAAAAAACTCGACACAAGCAATACAACAAGCATAAAGCAGACATAGACTACCCGAAAAAAGGCCCAACCAAACCTCATTGCCAGATTCATAACTGATTTCTGTCGAATACTGTAATAATCACCTCACATTCTCAACAATCTCTTCGTCAAATGATCTCTAATTCTTATTAGAGTCTGAATTGGAAACATGAAAAACATGAATGTAGAGTAGAATAACCAAATGGATACTGTGAAAAAGCTAGTGAAAAGATTGATTTGAAACCCAATTAATTTAAACACAGAGATTGCAAAGAAAGCTAAGAAATTCAGAGGAAAATTCACCACTTTTGAAACATCTTTGTACTCCTCATTGAAGGCAAATGTATCATTATCAAATCGCTTTGAGCTTGGCTGAAGCAGAGGGTATTTTTTCTCATAAGCCTTACAAGCCTCTGAATTCCCCTCTGCACCATCCTCACTTGGATCACTACATCGGTTCACAGCCCATTTTCGAGCCATTAACACTCTCTCAGCTCCATGAAGCAGAGAGTATTTCACCATATCAATCAAAAACTCTCGTGATTTCGCGTAATTTTTACAATCAAAACCGAAAAATTCACTGCGATCTCGGACTGACCCATGATGTTCGCCGATTTCATGAATGTTTTGATGATTTTTCGAGTCATCCATGTTGATTATAGTTGGAGATTTGGAATTGGTTGTTCTTCAATGGAACAGAGTTGATGGTGGGAGAGGGAAAAAAAAATGGAGGGACTCTGGAAGTTGGGATTAACGGTAACAGGGACTTTATAGGAGGGAAAATGATGATGTGGCACAACTGTTTTTTTTTCTTTCTTGGGATGCTACATGAGATTATGCTAGATGGACGGATTGGATTGTCTTATCAAATTTCCAGGTAAGGGATCAGGATAAGTTATGCTGCAGGGGAACACACATCTCAACACTGCCTTCTAGAGTCCTGACCTTACTCTGTTTGGCACACACACCCAGATTACATCATATTGACAAATCCAATTTTCAATTCTAGAATTCTGATCCTGTGTGGTCAGTCCATTGGAGATCAAATATACTGCTAACAATAAAATTTACTCTACTGCATCGCATGGTCTACTACGAATTCTAGAGAGCAATTATTCAACAGTTTGGGAACACTATTTAGCTGTGGTGCTTTAAAGACATCTACTCAATGTGTGTTACGATTTTTTATTGGCCGAGAATAGCACGTAAAAAATGTCATATAATCATCCTGAGAGTATTTAATAATTTTTTAAATTATAGAGTATAATTATAAGTTCGAGAATACCATGTAGATTGCCTATGTGATAGTTCAAAACAATTACATAGTAAAAAAATTTACAAGCAGGACTGCTAACTCATTTTTATTAGGTAGTTAAGAGACAAATAATAATCTACTTAGTTTGTATTATAATTTTTTATTTGACATAAGTACAATATAGACAATAAATATAATATTCCGTGAATATTTAATAACTTTCCACTCTGCAATGTTGCAAGGGTAAGTTTATCGAAAAAGTGCTCTTATTCGTAATGTTATTAATACATTTACAGGTTTTGTGTGATGAGTCACCCTAAGATTATGTTTGGTTCATAAATTTCAAAAGAATAATGAAAATTTAAATAAAATATGAACGAAATATAATTACATTTTATACTTTTTTTTCATTCATTTTCTAAATTTCTATCTAAATTCATGGTCCAACCAAAACCTAAGTTTGTATATTTGTTAGTAAGATTGTTAACAAGGCAAGATTACAGAGTGTATTGAAACCCTAGAGTGGCTACAGCAACAGTCTGATATCTTTATGTATCTCAAATAAATAAAAAAACAAACTCGGCGACTGAATATAGATCAATCTAAAGTCAATTTTGCAATAAAAATTAAATTAAAAAAAAAAACTGTCTTGTGAACTGCAACAATCTCCCAATTTGGCATTTTCGTAACAAAACAAATTACACCACACAAAAACAAATACAAGGACATTCAAGCCTATGAACCTTTTTCTAATACAAGAAATACCTTTAAAACGCGTTGGTAGCGATGAATATAAAAAAGACTAAAAAGAATAATATTAATATCATTTTAAATAAACTACAAAAATTTTGAGGAGAAAAAAAAAAAAGAAAAAGAAGAAGAGCCTCAAAAAAGGTTTGTAGTTATGTATGCATCATATATTCATTTTATCATTCTAAATTTACATCATAAAGATCCGGAAGAAGCTTGCTAGATGAAGAATGGTCCCGCACCTCATTGATACTTGGGATAGAAACTGAGGAATCAATCCATGGCCCATCCATTGATATGCTCCTCTGCACTTGACTGTCTACAGAGAACGTAGAGACGTGTGTTTGGCTGTCCTGCGTTAGCCTCTCAAAGGCTTTAAACCTCATGTCCTCATTCAGTGAATTGCGCTTGATCACCGGTGCTTGTATGGGACTTTGGCCTTCGAGCATACTCACCACGGAAGACATGGATGGCCTGAGGGAGGGAGATATGTTGGTGCACAAGAGAGCGACATTTAACATATTCATTACCTCTTCCTTAGGGTAGTCTGGACCGAGATTGGAATCCACAAGTGATAAAAGATTTCCCTGCTCTTGCAGGACATAGGCCTTCAATCGTATGCAGAAATAAAAAGCTTTAGTTATCTCACATAAAATAAAACTACGCAATTTTCAAGCATTAGCATAGGAAAATTATATAGATAGGTGGTGTTTTCTATCAAGAAGCCACATGAAATGAGATCACATCTTTTTTTCTGTTTTTTTATTTTTATTTTTAATTTAACGATTTTTTGGGATGCTGAGTCCAGCACATTGCAAAGATTTAAATGCATAACCTCCTACATCTAAAATTAGTTTCATAATGCATTTGAAATGCTATCATTAATGAAAGATCAATATATTATGCCTATTAGAGATTTAAGGTTGCAACTTCAATTTTTCCACTGAATTTAGTTTTAAAGTTGGATTTATTTATGTAAAAAGTGACAGAAATGTTTCATTTCCAAGTTTTTCCTAGTGCACTCTAAGTCACATATAACTGAGAGGTGGACCAACATGAAACATTTGCATGTGTAAAACTGAAAGATTTAGCAAAGAAAAATGAGAAAAAGCATAATTTACCCAATCAAGAAGGTAAACAAACTCCTCCCTCGGCCTGTAATTTGTGTTGCTTTTTCCAGTGACAATCTCTAGTGCAACAATTCCAAAGCTGTAAACATCTGCTTTATCTGTTAAGTAACCTCTCATTGCATATTCAGGAGCCATATATCCTCTGAAAAAATGGAAAAACAAAAAATATCAGAAAAGTTGAGGATCAAAACAGCAAATTATAAATCACTTCTATTCAAGCAGAATAGATAGTAATCTAATTATGAATAACAATCAATTAATCAACCTATGATCTCTTCTATCTAGTTTTGATAGTCCATTCTTGATAACCCACAGTTGGAAAGGAGTTTGGTTCACCACAAATATTTATCTTACATAAAAGGGTGTACTTTAGCTGGTTTTCAGAATTGCAGTTTGAAAGAAAAAACCAGTCAAAACTGCTTATCTACCACCCAGCAGCAACTAACAAACCAGTGCAGAACTACACCTCCAATGATGTGAGTGTCAGATGTAAAAAAAAAAAAAAAAAAAAAGCCAAAAACCCCTTAAGAAATAAGGTCACTCATCATTCCAAAAAGAGAGAAACAAAAATAAAAAAGCAAAATTCTTACAGCCCATAATTTCAGACTACCAATACGATATCAGTTATGCAAATCCAGGTAGGGCTTAGTATCCATTGCATCATTGGGAAAAGGATGGTAATGGTTAAACTAAATTATAAATTAACTAATTTCTAGTAAAATACGTATGTGCATTAATACCCCTTTGAAGTGAAGAATTAACTACATTTGTGTTCAACACCCATTGCTATTACTATATAAAGAAAAGTAATATTTCAAGAAGGGTGGAGAAAAACAAACATTGTTCCAGCAATTCGTGTGCTGATATGGGTGTTCTCCTCTTCATCAAGTTTGGCCAAACCAAAGTCAGATATCTTGGCATTCAGATCCTTATCAAGCAGCACATTGGTGGCCTTAATGTCTCTGTGAACAATTTTCAACCTTGATTCCTCGTGAAGGTAAGCTAGCCCCCTTGCTATCCCCACACATATCCTTTTTCTTGTTGGCCAGTCCAGTTTTAGGCAGTGCTCCTCACGACCTAAAAATGAGAGAGTGAGGTATTTCAGTATAATCATTCTTAAAATACATAGAATGGTGTACAAAGATGATAATGAAGCTCTTACCAAAGAGTGCACGGGCAAGACTATTGTTTTCCATATACTCGTATATTAGCAACAACTGGTTTCCTTCAATACAACAGCCGTAGAGCCTGACAAGATTTGGGTGTTGTAAGGCAGATATCATGCCTATCTCATTGACAAATTCACGATTTCCTTGCTTTGATTTAGCGGAGAGCTGCTTAACAGCGATAACAGCACCATCTGACAGTACTCCCTGAGATCAATCAGCATTAATGTCAGAATAGATAGGATATAAAAAACAAAAATTCCTCTGCATTGCTGCCTTAAAAGGATAGTTGCCCTAAATGTTGCCTGACATTGCTGTCAGGTTTGCAACCGAAGGCCAAAAATTAATTACTTGCATAAAAAATACCTTGTAAACTGGCCCAAATCCTCCTTCACCAATTTTGTTCGCATGGTCAAAGTTACTGGTTGCAGCTTTGATTTGTCTCAAGGAAAAATAACCTGTTTGCAGATCGAGTGCTCGAAGTTCTGTAACAAAGACGGGAAATAGGAATTCCCAGAAAGATATTAGAAAACTATAGTAAACCAACAACACAGCTAAAGAAAAGAAATTCATCTTTCTCAACCTATCTTAAGGTTGTTGCAATGCTCTATGAACTATGACATGACTGATTTTACAGCCATCTGATCTCACCATTACATTTTGTATCAGTAGCCACCTACCTCATGTAAGTTCAATTACAGAGGTTCAACTATTTTTCTATCACAATCTACATAGATCAAACTCTGTGTGCTAATGAATCTTTTATGGACGGAAAATTCCCACCGAAGGCAGCATTTATTTCATTTCTAATCAGCATGAAATTATCTATAGGCCAATTTATACTCATTTAGGAGCAGTAACCTAAGTTTTGTGACACTCATAAACAGATCTGTACAAGCATTACATGAACAGACATGCTTAAATGTTTCAAATTTCCCAATTTGCATTAATTTTGTGTGAAGATGCCAAAACAGAGGACCAATTTTCAGCTGTTCCTCTCATCAAAATGAAGACTAGATTGTGTACTGTACAGGAAGACTATTATCTGATTTTCCCAAGATATTTTACCGATGCCATGTCCCATGAAAAGCTCAAACATCTATCTCATTTTCAAAGTGGTGAACTGAACATGCATTAACAATCAGATAGCAACAAGAGAAAATTTTCATATGCAGGAGTGTCAGATCTCACCTTTATCTTCGAGGTCTTTCCCACCAAGGTAACCCTTCATTCGAAGTACAACTAGGATCAACACAAGGAGCACACATGAAGCAACCACAATGCCAGCAATAGCTCCAGCAGATAGTCTAGTATGAACTTTATAGTCTACAAGAAAGGCAATGATTAGTCACATGACAGGGAAGAAGCAAGAAAAGTGTAACCCAAAATAGAGGATGTACTTGGTGTCACTGAAATAGCAGATATAAGAGGTCCATATATTCCCTTGTCGGGAATTGAGGTAGTTCCTTTCCCTAACCAGTATAGGTGAATCTCCAGAGTGCTACCATTAACGTAAACATCAACCTCCTTTGTGATGTTCTTGCCGGCACCTCCAGCCAGCAATAGCTCCAGCAGATAGTCCAGTATGAACTTTATAGTCTACAAGAAAGGCAATGATTAGTCACATGACAGGGAAGAAGCAAGAAAAGTGTAACCCAAAATAGAAGATGTACTTGGTGTCACTGAAATAGCAGATATAAGAGGTCCATATATTCCCTTGTCGGGAATTGAGGTAGTTCCTTTCCCTAACCAGTATAGGTGAATCTCCAGAGTGCTACCATTAACGTAAACATCAACCTCCTTTGTGATGTTCTTGCCGGCACCTCCAGCTTCCTCCATAATATTGAAGTCCTTCCAACGTACTTCCCCCTGAGAAAGGAGTGAAATTATCACTAGTACCAAAGAAGCAAAGATAATTTATCAGAGGCTCAAAAATCGTTAAGTGCTGAAAAGAAAATAGCCCGTAGAGAAACTGATGTTCGTACAAAGTCACTAAATAGTAAATAAGTTATGCATGAAGTCTACTAGCAGGCTGGCATCTTACTTGGATTGATATATCGAAGATGCGCCTCCCGAGGCTGTTAAATTTCTGATCATCAGAGAACATTATTTCAGCAAAATGGAGGCGCACGTTATACCAACCGTTGCGCAAGCAAAGCCCATAATACTTCAATGAAATAGGGGCAAGGCGGGCTGTACTGTACAAGTTACCACCAGGCAAATTCAACGAGAATTTGTTGTCTGTTATTAAAGGCGCACTACTCTTGCCAAAGAAAGACCCTGTGCTGCTATAAGCCCATTTATCTGAAGAAGAGAAAAAGGATGATTCACCCTGTGGGTTTTTGTCCTCTTCATATTCATGTCGCTCAAAGGATGTTTGATCTCCTCCGCAGTTGATGAACAAATCATGGTCTGTGCATAACACAAAAATCACGATACAAGATACTTTGGCAAAGATGTCTAGATAGTAAAGAGTTAATAGTTTGCCACTACATCATTAATAGCAGGGCTTGGCAGGCTTAATTTAATACTTACATTTGGGTTTTGTTGGGCAAGGCAAGCCCTTCTGCAAGCACCAATGAGCTCTACAAAAAGAATTTAGGTTCAGTAACTGCGAAATTTTCAATCTACTGATGTTTAAATAAGTAAAATAAAAATACACCTTAGTAATGTAAGGAACTTACGAGTTGTCGATTGTAGGTGGAACAGTGGAAACTAAATTCCTGTTGACCAATATAAAAGGGTTGATTATTTGTAGGTGAGATGTAATATTGTAAATGATGTAGAACTAATAACCAAAAAAAAAAAGCTTACACGGATGATGACTGGCAACTAAATTGATCTGACGATGCCGACTGTGTAAAGTTGTTGTAAGATATATCACTGCAATAGGAATTGTCATGACATTTGTGATGAGGTTCTGAGTGATCTAACTCAACCTTATTATGCTTCGAGAATTGAAGTACGGTAAATGCATGTGTGAATTGTGGCAGGAAAAATAAAAAACAGGTTTGGAAAAACACTGACATTTTATTCTTGCTTTTGGGAATCCAATCAGGTACTTCTCCAGTTAGTGAGTTGCTTGTCAAAAACCTACATCCGTAGTCAATATATTATGTCTCACATTGAATAGAAATCAATTATGATACAAACAAGAAGCTTGAGAAATAAGTACAAGAAAGAGGTACAGAGTCTGTAAAGGTTTGGACATACAACTATTCCAAAACTAGTTACTTACATGAATTCTATACCCTTATCCAAGCCCAAAAATGTTGGCGGAATTCCACCAGTCAACATGTTAAAGCTCAGGTCTCTGCAAGTAAGAAGCACAAGTCACCTACATGATATAAAATTACCTGCCAGAAAGGGGAAATTGATGTGATCTAATCTACTCCACTTTGTTCCCCTAGACAAACTCAAACCTACCGTAGGTAGAAACTTTTTAAAAAATGAAGTAATGAGAACAAAATATATATACTAACTAACCAAATTAATTTATTTCACAAAATCCTAAGAATGATTTCTATATTCCCAGCTGGGGCTAAAAGGTATAGATGAATTACAGTAAACATTCAACATAAATGAATCTTAAAATGTTGGTTTCAGCTCAAATTTTCCAAGTTTATATATCTATACTATTATATATGTGAACAACTCACTTTAATCTCTTGAAGCCTACTCTCTTCTTTGGCCAAGTGGATTTCTTTATATCAAAAAAGGAAAAAAAAAATTATAAAGTAAAGTGAACAAGATTTAAATCTAAGATCTTGGGTTTGGAAAACAACATCCTTACCACTTGATCAACAAACACTACATATATTTCTAATTCAAAATCAAAATCAAAATTTATATTTTACAAATTTAATAGCACACCCATCGAGCGGGCTTACACCCCTAGTGTATATATATATAACTATCATAACAAACAAGACGCCTAAACATTGTACAACTTTTTTGCTGTAGTGAGTATTATCCTTTAACTAAAATGATAACAAATAATATAACATGCCAACTGAAATAACTTGTTCAACCCCTTACTTCCAGATTACAAGCATAAATTTGTCATTTCTATATTAGAGATATCAAGCCCGCATGCAATTATATATATAAAAAAAAAATTTAAAAATGGCATCTGCAAGAATAACAGTTAGAATGAACTTACAAAGTTTTGAGGGTTAGCAATTGACCAATGTCAGGTGGGATTTGACCAGTAATTAGGCAGTTTCTCAGTACCCTGTGCAACAAAAATGAAAGAAACAACTTGGTAAAGGTGACTGAAACACAAATTGATGACGTAGGATTGCATTCTTCCCATGAATTGTATTCTTATTCAACTTACAGAACTTTCAATTTTTTCATCCCCTCCAGATCAGGGATTTTCGTAGTTGATCCATTCAAATCTGATATTATCCTGAAAATTAAGATGCATCAATCAGATCAGATTTCTTCATCTTTCTACATCCTCAAATCCAGAACCATCATAAATTCGGTAACTTCTTTTTGGTTGAAATGAATTTACTATATATGAAAAAGTAGTTACTAATGTAAATAAGTCCTCACAGCTCAGTTATGTCTTTCAGCTGGGATATGGTAGAAGGAATGGGGCCATCCATGGATGTGCCTTGTATGTACCTGAAACAGATTATTAACCAATTATTTGTGATATTCTTAGGTAAAATTAAAATTTAAGAGAAAGCTTGTTAGAATTCCACAGGTCAGGAAAAGATTGCTGATGAATGGAACAACTAATGATACTCACATTTTTTCAATTTTTGTCCAGTTCCCAATCAGAGGAGGTATCTTCCCAGACAGTACAGTCCCATCTATCCTACTGCAATCAGTTGAAGAAGTTTTAGAATTACTAAAATTTAAGACCAATAATTGTCAAAACAATAACCACTTACAAATCTGTCAAGTTCTTCAAGTTGATGAATTTGTTTGGAATTGTTCCCGTAAAATTGTTAGCAGAAAGAACGCTGCAGCAAACCATTCGCTATGAATTCCAACAATATGAAAAAGATAGGACTAGTAGTGGCAATGATGACTGTGCCTTGACATATCATTTTTGTCACAATCAACATTACAGGGACATCTAAAAGACAATGTCCAATTTATGGAAGAGAGTTTTGACAATGCAGCCTCAGATAAAGCATGCCATACATATTGATAGGCACAATGGTTGAATGCTAGACAAGGCAAGAAATGCAACAACAGGAAAACCGTTACATAATTTATATTCATAAATAAATAAATAAATAAAAAGAAAAAAAATATATCATAAATTCAACCAGACGAATGAAAATTTCAAAATTAAAGAAAGAAAGAAAACCACTAAAGAAACTCCACAAGAGAAATAATACTCATGACAACAACATTGCATACTTGCAATTAGATTGCAAGCTTATCTCCCAAAGACCACCATGATCTTTGGTAATTATATAATTATCAAAATAGTCTTAAAAATTCATTTGGTAATTACATAAGGAGGTTAGAAACAAGCCCTTAAGGCATATCTTCCAATCTAGACTTTACTCCTCAATGATATTTTCATCTTTTCTGGATTTTATCAAACAATGAAGGCATATTTTCCAATCTAGACTTAATTCCTCAACAATATTTCTACCTGAGGAGCTTTTCATACAATATTTGAAGACCACAGCCGGACTAGATCATGCATACAAAATCCTTCTTCCTGATCATACAGCTGTTTCTTAACAAATTATTACTCTATCTACAATAAGAAAGGCATTTCAGATAAGAAACTTTGGCAGTGACAGCACCACAACGTAACCCAATATATTCAAGTGCATACTTCAAAAGAAAGAAACCGTAAATTTTAAACAAATAGAAAAAAGGGATTAGCAGTCTTACAGCCTGCTCAAGCGGCTCAAATTTCCAAGCTTTTCAGGAAGAGATCCACTAAGCTGATTTTGTTCCAACACCCTGGAAATATAGTTTGTTTTAAAACCAAGGCCATGATTGATCTCTTAACCCAGTAGACAGCAAATTATTGATGACTTACAGCTGCTCAAGAGTAGCAATATCTCCAATTTCCCCAGGAATCACACCATTAATGCGGTTTCCCCCAAGAGCCCTGTAGTGTAGCAACAGTTGAAGTCCAGCCACCCAGTCTAACTGATAATACATATCCAAAAGCATGCAACTAGAAACTTACAGAATGGTGAGAGATGAGAGCTTAGCAAAAGTCTTTGGAATTGATCCACTGATATAGTTGCGTGAGAGATCACTGTGTTGATAAAGAAATCTTTCTTAGTTTCAAAGTGGTCATTGCATTAAAAGGTATCTATCTTCCATATTGGTTAGTTTCAACAGGGATGTTAAAGGGGCCATATAAATGGTAAAAATAGAAAGATGACAAAAAGGTTGCAGATGATTGTATTGTATTTAAACATCTGTAGAAGAGTTCCTTTCTACTTTATTGGCTTGGTTTCTCAGCTCAGGGTGACAAATAAATTTGCTAGGTGGTTTGAATTTATGGATGTAGGGCACATTGGACGTGTGATGGAAATTTTGGCAAACAAATCAGCCTTATAAAGGTAATAAAATATTAAGTTAGTGGCATGACAATACCACCTCAATCACCATAATAATCCCAACATTCCCTTAGTTCATAGTTGCTAAGAAAAACCAAATAGACTTGCATAGATGTAAATGTAATGAAAAATTTCTCTAGTCATGTGCAGCAGATATCTACTTTCATTTCCTTGGGGCATCCAAGCTCGACATAAGGGTTTAGCCTTCGTGATCTGCTAAGCATAAATCCATTTATATAAACAACGTAAACAATGGGCACATGAACTAGGGGTGGCCAAACCTTGGACCGGGCCGGACCGGGTTTACACTACATATTAAGAGGATATTCCCAAGCTTGACCCAGACCGACATCGCACCTAATGCTTGGCCTTAAAAAAAAAAATCAAATCCCAAGCCCGCTCATTTGACCCAATAGATATAATGTTTTTTTTTTTTTTTTTAAATTTTGTCTTCAATGAATATTAAATTATTTAGAGTCTTTTATTTATTATTTGAATTTGGAATGTTAACAAAATTCAATGATAAAGTAAATATAATTTTTAACAAATGTTTTAATTTAAGTCCTAGAAAGAAGTATATATATACTTTTTTTGTCTTTTATATTTTTCCTATTTTATTTTATAACTAAAATAACGTAAAATTATAATCAATATTTTATAAATGGCCGGATCAGGCTAGGTTGGGATAAAAAAAACTCTTTATCCCAAGCCCAACTTGAATATTAAATGGGCACAAAATTTTAGCCCAACCCAGCGCTATGGGCAAAATAATTTTTTCAAATCCTAAAAATATTGGGTTGAATTGGGCGGGTTAGGCAGGCCAATAGCCACCCCTACAGTGAACCAATGATTCAAATTCATAGTTACGCCAATTGAGTTCTGAAATGTCACTTACATTTCTTGCAGATTACTAAGATTTGCAAATTCTTCTGGTAGAATTCCTGCTAAATCTAGACCCTTCAAGCGGCTGTAATCCAAGGAAACCAGAGAGTAGCATAAAGTTAATAATCAGAGGGAAATACTTTGGGATTGTAGTAATTCATACATGTGAGCGTAGTTGTTAAATTGAGAATTGAATCGTGAATCGTTAAGATTTCATACAAACTACAAAAAACAAAAAACAAAAGAAATAAATTGATTTTGCCGCATGCTATAAAATAGTTCTTATATAAGGACATGATTACACTATCTAATTAGGAAGACATTACCTTCATAGCAATAGATGCAGGTCCAAATCCTAGCAATCATAAAATTATCAAAAACTATTATATGATCTCTCTTGACATTCAAAAAACAGACTTAAAATCCTTATATAGAGTATAATAAGAAGAGAGAAATAAGCAGAATCTCTTTTTTAACAAACTAAAACACTTTAAAAAGTATGTATGCCTATTGTTCAAAAAAGTTAGAAATGAAAAAACAATTATGGAACCATTGGATTTGACTTACCTAACTCATGTAATATTGAACCATATATATTTTACCAAAAATAGCAATACATAATTCATAGGTGCAAGTTATTTTAACCTAAAACATCCTTATAAAATGTATTATGACATTTTTTGAGAAAAAAAATGTTAAGAGCATGTTGAGTCTAACCGAATCTTATTAAAAATCCACTGATCATCAAAATAACAACAAATCAATTGGTTATTTTTGTACTAAACATTGTATTATGTCATTTTCATCACTTTAAAAAAGAGGTAAAAAAGAGTTGAAATCTGTCAAACACTATAGTTTCAAGAATAGCATGAATTGTAAAAGAGTGAATCGATTGTGAATTGTGTGATTCACCTTAGATTCTATTCTATCCCAAAATAGATTTACCTATAGATTCATATCGATCTAAGCATGAATCGTGAATTCTAAAATTCTAATAACAGAGCATGTGAGGTTTAAAAAATTAATATGGTTTATTTATCCAAAAAAAAAAATTAATTAATTAATATGGTCAGAGATAACCATTAGTCAATAGGTCTAATTCAATAGTAGAATTACTCTCTGCAACTTATAGTTGAAAGTTCGAAATCAACTGCATTAGATTGCAAATTATGTTCCATAATTTCAGTGGAACAAGCTCTTAGCAATAAAACTGTATCATAACCTACTGCATTCGCAACCAAGCTTTCAACTTCTAATAAGGACTACATTGCCAGTGCAATGCCTTGATAATAGAAATTAAAAAATTAAAAATCATTTTTGATCATGCCAATTTAGTGTAAGATTTCTGAAAGTTTTTTGTATATTCAATTGCGTAATAATACAAAGAATAGATCTGATCATATAGTAAACTTAACCCCAAGACTAAAGAAACACTGTCATATATATACATCTAAAACACTGCCATATATAAACCTAACCTAATAGGAACACTACCATAAATATACACCTATACAATCTCTCAAAAAACGGAAACACTACCTAACCTAATATTCTCAGAAAAGGAAACAGTGCCTAACCTAATATTCTCACACCTCTGCTCAAACTCAAGATGTTGTAGCAGAAAACACTGAGAGTTTGCCAAAAAGAAACTGAAACTGAAACTGAGCAGTGGTGGAAGTCTTGGTAAAAAAGTCAGCAAGTTGTAGAACTGAAGAGACGAAAGGAAGCGAGATAGAGCCGGACTGCAGATGGTGACGGATAAAGTAACAATCAACCTCAATGTGCTTGGTCCACTCATGGAAGACAGTGTTACGGGCAATCTGAATAGCACTACAATTGTCACAGTAGAGGGAGATCGGAGAAGACTGAGGGACACCCAAATCAGATAAGAGATAACAAAACCAAACAATCTTAGCAGTAACATGAGCCGTAGCACAGTACTCAGCTTCGGCAGTGGAGCGAGCAACAACAGTTTGTTTCTTACTTTTCCAAGAGATCAAGGAATCGCCAAGAAACATACAGAAACCATACGTGGACTTGCGATCAGTAACATCACCAGCCCAATCAGAATCAGCATAGGCCACCAAATCCAAAAAGGAAGTAAAGGGCAATAGTAAACCCTGAAATAGAGTACCTCGAAGATAGCAAAAAATTAGAACCAAGACAGCCCAATTTGTGGAGAGAGGAGCAGAAACAAACTGGCTAACCACATGAACAACATAGGTAAGATCAGGACGAGTAACCGTCAGATAGACTAAGCAACCCACAAGCTCACGATATAAAATGGGATCATCTAAAGGGACACCATCAGTAGAGTTAAGCTTCACATTAAGCTCAATAGGTGTATCAGAAACCTTAGTATCAGTAAGACCAACACGATGAATGACCTCATTAGCATATTTAGCCTGAGACAGAAAATAATCCTTTGGAGAAGAAGCAACCTCAATACCAAGAAAATACCGCAATGAACCCAAATCCTTTATCTCAAAGGTGCGGAAGAGATGCTGCTTAATTTCAAAGATAGCAAAAGAGTCAGAGCCAGTGATGATCATATCATCCACATATAGTAAGAGAGCAACAAAACCAGCTAAGGTATACCTCAGAAACAAAGCAAAAGAATGAAATCCAAGCTCAGTAACAGCAGTCTGAAAGCGATCATACCAAGCACAAGGAGACTGCTTCAAACCATACAGAGTACACCGAAGACGACAAACCTGCCCAGAGAAGTGAGGAAGGTAAAGGGGTGGACGCATGTAGACCTCCTCAGTGAGATGACCATTAAGAAAAGCATTCTTAACGTCCATCAGATAGAGAGGCCAATGTCGAATAGCGGCAATAGAAATCAAGATACGGACAGTAGTCATCTTGGCAACAGGAGCAAAAGTTTCCTCATAATCAATACCATACTCTTGCAACTTGGCAACTAGGCGAGCTTTGTATCGCTCGAGAGAATCGTCAGAATGAGTTTTGACTTTATAGACCCATTTGCAACCAACTAGATTCTTGCTAGCAAGCAACAGGACCAACACCCAAGTGTTAGTCTTCTGCAAGGCAAACAACTCATCCTCCATAGCTTGATCCTGACAAACCTCCTTGTAAGTCTGAGATTTTGAAAAAGAATGAATAGCAGACAAAAAAGTACAATAGGAAGCAAAAAAACATGTATTAAACCAACCCAACCTGTTTGGAGAATGACGCACTCGAGTAGGATATCAGTGTGCAGCAGGATCAGAGTCGCTAGAAGTAGGAGGATCAGCAGTAGGGGCAGAGACAACTGGTAGAGGGAGAGCCTGGCGACGAGAATAAACTAACAACGGAGAAAGAGTAAGAGAAGGAGCAAGTTGGGGAGAAGGAGGAGAAAATAGAGCAAATTCATGGGGTTCAGTGGAGAAAGACTCAACAAAAGGGGTGGCAGGAGGAGAAAAGGGAACAAGTTCAAGGGGAACAGTAGAGATGTACTCATCAGGAGGGACCTCAGAAGGAAATGGATTAATATGAACCAAATCCTCTTTGGAAACCGGAGCAATATGATAGAAAGAAACTAAAAGTAAGGCAAACGTTCAAGAAAAGAAACATGACGGGAGACATAAAGACGACGGGAAATAGGGTCGTAATACCGATAGCCTTTTTTAGTAGGACTACAACCCAAAAAGACACAGAGAACAGACCCGGCACTAAGTTTGGTTCGATCTTTAACGAGAAGAAGGACAAAACAGGCAGACCCAAACACACGAAGGAGGAAGGAAGAAGGAGGGAGTAATTAGAAATTTGGGAGAACAAAGCCTCATAAGGAGACCGACCAGAAAGAATGGGAGTAGGCATACGGCTGAGAAGAAAAACAGCAATAAGAACTACCTCCTCCTAAAACGAAGCCGAAACTGAGGCAGAGAGAAGAAGAGACCTAGCTGTCTCAATGAGGTGGCAGTGTTTACACTCGACTCGACCATTTTGGCAAGTGTATCTGTACAGGAAATTTGGTGAATGGTACCCAAATTGGCCAAATACTCACAGAACTCATTTTTAAAATATTCCCCACTCAAGTCAAACCGTAACACTTTAATTGTAGACCCAAACTGAGTAGTAATCATAAACTGAAAGGTATGATATATCTGATAGAAATCGGACTTATAAGTCATAAGATAAACCCATGTATAACAGGTGCAATCGTCAACAAATGACACATAGTATGCAGAACCCTCTTTGGTGAGAACAAGAGAAGGGCCCCAAACATAAGTATGAACTAAATAAAATAGTGTATCAGATATAGAAGTACTTTTACGAAAAGGTAAGGTTGTCATTTTGACAAGTTTACACCTCCGATATTCAATAAGTTCACTAGGAAAAACTTTACCCAATATACCTTATTGAGACAAATGCCCTAATCTAGAATGCCACAAGTAGAAAAGACTGTACAAAGAATCTAACTGAAAAGAGAAAAAGGCAGTCAGAGAGGTTGTCATAGGCAGATGCAAGCTATCCACCACATAGAGGTCTCTAACTCTACGGCCAGTCCCAATCTGCTGCTTGGACATCCGATCCTGCACAGAACATATAGAAGAAGAAAAAATAACATTAAAACCGGAGGCATCAAGCTGACTAATAGATAATAAACTGACAGATAACTGAGGATCATAAAGGACAGATGGAAAAGAGACAGCAGATGTTAAGACAGACCCAATAGATATAACAGACATACCAAACCCATTAGCAGCATTAACAGTAATAGGAAGGGGAAGGGGAGTACAATTTTAAAGTAAGAAGAAATGGGGAGTCATATAATGAGAGGCACCAGAGTCAAAAATCCAGACAGACGAAGAGATACCTGAAGAAGCCCCAAGCAAACCTGAACGACGAGAGGAACAATGGAGGCAGATGGGGATGGTTGGGAGGTGGACAGTATATGCTGAAACTGACTAATTTGAGCAATCAGGGAAGCCAAGTTAGGATCAGGAGCTGGAGCAGATGCAATAAAACTTGTGGAAGGCTGAAAAATATTCGAAGAAAGGGCGCAAAACTAGATCGAAAACTGCTGAGAAGACGTGGCAGACATACATCCCTTCTTGGGACAATGATACTTCCAATGACCCCTCTGATGGCAAAAGGCACACTCATCAAAAGCTAGAGGCATCATAGTACCCAGAAAACTGAGGGGTTCAAGTGCAATCATACAAAATAGCCAAACCAAGGGTTCAAGTGTAATAAACCCAAAATAGATCAAAGTAACCAAATCAAGACCAGATGACCCAATGAACTAGTCGAACAAGAGAGACAAAGAGAGAGAGCAGCCTGGTGTCGCAATTCCGAAACCAGATTGAACTAGAGAGCTCGCGATGGGTCGCGATACCAGAGCACAAGAAAGAAAGAACTTCGGTCCTCAGAGGATCAGCGAACAAGGATTACCCATGAGAACCAGTTGACGAACCCTAAGTCGACGAAATCAAAGGAGAGAGAAGATCAGTAGTGAGAGGAGTTCCAACTGAAGGTCACAAACCAAAGAGGGGTCAAGACGGATGGCCTTTCAACTAGCGAAGACGAACCACGATGGCGACGAGCTAGAGCCAGAAATCGCAAGGTCCAGAGCTGTCGGACAAACCAGAGATGCCAATCGTAAAGGAGTTACGAACCAGACTGGAGAACCTATGTGAATCAGACAACGACTCAAATAGAGGATCAGACGAACCAAACCCAATCTCGAACTAGATGGGTCGCATGTATTTAGAAAGTTGAACCAAAGAACTCAATGAAGCAGAGAAGCTTGGACAATGGCTGCTAGGGTTTCAAACCTAGCTTTGATACCATGTAAGATTTCTGAAAGTTTTTTGTATATTCAATTGTGTAATAATACAAAGAATATATCTAACTATATAGTAAACCTAACCCCAAGACTAAAGGAAACGCTGTCATATATATATATATATACCTAAAACACTGCCATATATATAAACCTAACCTAAAGGGGACACTGCCATATATACACCTATACAATCTCTCAGAAAAAGAAACACTGCCTAACCTAATATTCTCAAAGTAATTTCTTAGAAGAGGGCTGCAGCAAGAAAGACAAACTGGTGGCAGCAATTTGCTGCAACCATATATCAGCAATAGCAGGTTTCTATCCAATAGAAGTATGCAAATTATTTTGATACATTAGAAGTTTGGATAGCACAATTTGCTCCCCAACAACCCACTTTTGATATTTACAACTCTACACTATGGATAAGTCTGAAATTTGTTTCATATTTATTTATGAATCATCAAACAATAATAACGAAGCTTCTCATTGTTCGCTATTGAAGTACAAGTACTTCGCAACCCTAGTTATATTATAGCAAAATATCTCTTAACAGAAACAAATCAAATTTTACTTTCAAGCAAGTTAGATAATTGAATGCACGGAAAAAATCTTCATAGCTCAATTTAAAAAAAGATGGCTTGGCCACAAGTTATTTCATTATGCATATGTCAGCTGTGCCTTGCATTGCTATAGCACATACACTAGTACTAGTCTATAAAAGTAGAAAATATTAATTTTGTGCATTTGATACCACAACTTCTTTGTTATTTTCCAGAAACAAATACTATATCATTTCTCATTCTCTATTTGCATGGCCATGCATCTAGCAAGTCTACTATAGGTAAAGTTCAATAGGAAAACTAGCTCATACATGTTTGTGACATGGCAAACAGTGGAATTGCAATTGCAAATAACAGTGGTCTCACTCCCATCAGTGCCATTTATTTGAAATGTGCCGCTACTGCAGAAACTTTGGTTAACAGTGAAATGTTTGATCTGCAGTCTTGCTGATATTGTTTCAAGAGCTTTCACTGTTGCACAAAAGGAGGTGAAAATTTGGTTAGGAACAGTGTGAAGCAAAGAATGACAATACCAAAACAATATCTGACCATCTCTTTGAATTTCAATCCTTATATGACCATCTTATAAAATTTAAATCTAATGACATTTTTATTGGTACTCCTTGGTTAATTTTAATTTTTTATTCTTTTGGTAATAAATGCTTACTTACCCCAAAAAAATCCAAATCACAAGTAATAATAATAGTAGTAGTAGTAAGTAAGTAACAATCCTAAACTAGTTTGCAATGAAACTTAAACTAATAAATTTTTCCTTATAAACTAAATTAATAAAAGGGAGAATATCAAATTCTTGAAAAAGAAGAAGAAAAAACATATTAAGAATTTGAGTTAAAGACAAAACCTACGTTGTTTACTTGCGATATACCATGGTCTCATTGCAATGTGTACAGTTATTAGGATTTTGCAATTTGACTTTGGTTGCATAAAAGTTTATGACTTCATTGGATTGTAAAAATATTTTGTTATATTTTTATATTAAGAAATGCATGCACCTAAAATGAGAAAGATAGTTATACATAATTAGATTCAACATTATTTCAGAAAACAATCATAGATAAATCTCTTATTTGGAAAAATAATAAAATATTACATTCATATAACATGCACGTTACTGGGTCAAGCTAGCATGAATAACTCATTTTTTCCATTAGTTGTTAACTTAACACCCGTATGTCACCAGATCACTATGAAGTATAAACAAAATTTGGGGGACTATATCATTAATTAATTCCTTAAAAAAAAATCCAAGCAAAACGGAACATATATAAAGAGAAATTTCAAACAAACTGATGTTTTGGGCCTAGTGGTATTATGAGAGTTATTATGAAGTGAACCGGTTAAAATCTCATCAACTATAAAATTAATAAAATAAATAAATAAATAATAATAATTGAAACAGGGGGCCACAGCTAGAGTGTAAAAATGGGCCGCTCATCCTGGGCTTCTGCTGAGCTTAATCACACTTGGGGTTGGCTTAGAGGGCTCATGCCAAAATCCCAAGTTAGAGCAGGAGAGGGAGTGGATTGCCCCCTATTCCCAGCCAGGCCCAACTTGGCCTTGGGATGGGTTGTAAAGTAATTTTTATATTTTTTTTCCAAAAAATTCGAGTCGGCTTCAATTGCCTTAGCCTAATCCCTACCCAAAGGGGTCCAAGCCTGAGCTGGCTTTCCCCTAGGCCAGGCTCAAGCCAGCCCAAATGCCTCGGACCCTTTTTCCATGCATAGTCAGAGTCCCCCTTGGAGCCCAAGTGGGTCTGCATCTGCTCATATGCCTCACACCACCTACTCAAATGATAGGAGGGCATTGCTTGACCGTTCAAACAATATCAACCCCGCAAAGTTTTGTACTTCATCTCATTCTCATATGGGGATTGTCAAAATGTACTTGGCATGACTTATTTGAATTGTCTGGTCAAAGCAATCTACATTAATCCATTCCTTTACATGTCAAAAATGGTAGGCAGAAGTCAATTTGGCTGTGCTCCTATCACAGCAATGAAGCGTACAATTGTGCTCCATGCATGATTGACAAAATATCAATTAAGATTTTCCATGCAACAACTATGGGGAACCAAATTCTTTTTGACCAAATCAAAGCCTAGAGCAAGTTCTGAGGTCATTGTCACAAAGTAATAACATCAAAATTATAATTTGGCAAATGCTAATTTTGACAGTGTTGTTTCAATGATATAAATACCATTTTAACACATTCATATTGGTTATTTTTGTTTCTTGTGTAATTAGATCAAAACTCTCTTTTGAGTAAGTTGAGCTGATATAAAAACGACATTGTCAAATTTTGTATCAGATTTGACATAATGTCATTTTTTTTTGGCAGGCTGCCAAGTTTATTTTTTTTTAAATGAAGTTACTATAATTTAATAATAAAAAGTTCACTAAAATTGTTTTTAAGTGACGGTGGATGAGGGCCCATTAACAGCTCATTTCAGTGGCCATCCTCGCTGTATAATATGCCTGGTGGTCACAAGGACCAAACTTGCTATACGACAAAATCAACGCAATTATTTTCCCAAAAACATAAGACACAGAAATATCAAAACAAAATGAAATATAAAAAAGAGCAAAAACAAGAATTATTTACATGGAGACCTCATAAACTATTGAAAAGTATTATTTTGATTATTTAAACTATAAAAGTGTACAAATGAACCCTTTAAACTATTGAAAAATATTTATTTGCCCCCTAAACTATAAAAGCATACAAATTAAACTATTTGTATATTTCATTTTGAACTCTTCCGTCAATGGTACAATTTGTACGTTTTTATAGTTTAGGAAGTTCATTTATACACTTTTATAGTTTATGAGGCAAATTGATACATCTCAATAGTTTAGGGGATCCATTTGTACTCTTTTATAATTTAAGAGGTCAAAATAATATTTCTCAATAGTTTAGGGATCTTCGTATAAATAATCCAAAAAGAATTAGAGTTTAAAATTCTCTTCAATATTACCATATAACATCACCGATTGTTCTAGAGGGTGTTTGGGATGATCTAAATATACTTTTTAACTTTTTATAAAAATATGTGTAAAAAAATAAAAAAATAATATGACCCAAAAAAGATTTTAAAAAAAATAATATACTTCTATAGAGAATGCCAAATATTGCCTAATATAACTTATAAAAGATCGAAAAAAGTCAGGATAAAAAAGTAAGTTTTCAATCACAATATAATACATTATTTTGAAATAGTAGTAGTTTAAAATTGGAGGCGGATTTCCTTCTGTCCATGATCTAAAATTGAGGGTGTTGTTTAAATCGTTTATTTTTGTGGACTGCTCTGGTACAAGGGTTGATTCGAACAGTTAATTTTATCTGGTATTTTGTATATTTTATCTACATAAAAAATTAAATCGATCTAATAATCGAAACTCTTATTCAATTTATCACATTTGTCACTAAAAAAAATAAATAGTTTATTTTTAGGATAAATTACAAATACACTCTCCTGAGGTTTATTTAAAATACGAATTGCTCCTTGTGATTTTGAAAATTACATCTCACCCCTTGAAATTTTTAATTTCATAACAAATAGTCCCTTTTGTTAATAAATTATCGAGTCAATTAATAATTTTTAATGATATCATAAATTTATTTTAATTAATAATTCAAGTAATTTTATTATTTTATAAGAGAGTAGTTAGAAATTTATTTTTTCAGTTAATTCTGTTAAATAAAAAATTTTGAAAATTAATATTTTTAATTTTCCAAACCACATGGAGTAATCCGTATTTTAAACAAATTTTGATGTATTTATAATGTACCATTATTTTTAAAAACACAGTAGTCATTTTCTTATTATTTTACAAATGCAATAAAATAAGTTATAATTATCAAATTGACTTATTTTCTTTAAATGAGATATACGAAATATCAAATATAATGATCGATTTAAATCATCAAAATGGGACGTATAAACTTCACATGCCCAATCAGCTCCACCCCAAATAAATTATTCTTTAAAATTATACTCAATATATACTTTAACAAATAAATTGTTTTTTAAACAAACACATCCGTATCGCTTAAAATTACTCATTTTGTCTCATTTTGTTGGTGTACTATTTTATTTTGGGATGCCTCCAAATGATAGAAAAATTATAAATATATTTAAAATTTTGAAAAAGTAGAAAGATTAGTAAAAAAAAAAAATTAATTTAGTGTAATGATTTTTTTTTTTGATTACATGAAAATTTTCACTTCTCACATTTTTTACACACAAAAAGACAAAAAAAAAGACAATAGTGTAATGATTTTTTTTTTTTTTTTGATTACATGAAAATTCTCACTTCTCACATTTTTTACACACAAAAAGACAAAAAAAATCAAAAAATCAAAAAATCAGCTTTTAGGGTTCGCTTGGGATGTGGGTTGGTTTTTTGGATTTTTTACTTTCTTTTTTAGTAACTTTTTGGTTAAAACATGATGTGAAAAAAGCTAGTATGTTTGGGATGAATTTTTAGTTTTCTACAAAAAAAAAATGTGTAAAAAGTAGAAAGAAAAAAAAATCTTTGACTTTTTAGTATATGTTGTAGGTTTTTTGATTTTTTTAGTGACTTTTTGATTTTTTAGCTAAAAAATGATATTGCTAAACGAGATCTAACCTAGGACTAAAAAGCCTTATTTGGTATAGCCTTTTTGGCTTTTTTGACTTTTTTAAGAGAAAAAATAAAATAAAATGATTATGATTTAGATATGACATTTTGTCTTATTAAACTAAAAAAAATATTTTGTCTTTTTGTAATCATTTTAGTTAAAAAAAACCTCAATTCAGCCAACGTTAGAATTTTAGGCTTATTTTGGGAAGATAGTAAAAAGTGATTTTTTGACTTTTAACCAAGCTTTTGGCTTTTTTTAGACAATGATTTGGGAAGTTGGTAAAAAGTGACTTTTTGGCTTTTTTTATTAATGTTTGTTTATGATATCAAATCATAATAAAATGACCAAACTATCCCCATTTATTTAAAATAATTACAACTTCACCTATGTAACACATTTTAACCCATGAGGGTAAAATTGTAATTTCACCATTGGCTAAAAACCAACTTCTCAAATGAAAAAAAGGACAAAAAAGCCAACTTTTGGCTTTTGTTACAAATCAAAAAAAGTGGCTAAAAGCTAACTTCCCAAAATAGCCCTTAGTTGCCTTTTGACAATTGATCTTTTTAGTTGATTTTTTTTACTTTTTTATTATTTTAACTTGAGATTAAAAATTTATTTGATTTAATTTGATTTGATTTGATTTTTTTAATTTTTATAAAATAAAAAATAAAATAACTATAATTTAAATGTCATATTTTATCTTATTAAATTATTTAATTTATTTTATATTTTGAACTTTTTTTTAACTAAAAAATCCATGCCAAAGAAGCCACGAAGGATCAATAAATTGAAACGGGTAATAGTCACGATGTTGATTGTGGTGTAAACGAGATGTGGGCCCGCAGTGTTTTCTGTCAGGCAGTGGCTTTCTGTCAAGCACTCTAACTCTACTGGGCCCAACGTTGCAGGATATATTTTACACGGTTGAAATCAATCAGTCCCATCCTTTTTGGTTTCTTGTTCCAAAATTCATACTCTCACAAAATCGAAATATTTATCATGTCGATATATTTTTCACAAATTTTAAGAGATTTTTAAAATAATATGTATATTTTTAAAATTTGTATAAAAAATAATATGATTTAAAAAAGATTAAAAAAATATACCAATATAAAAAATGTCAAATAATGTCTTAAAATTAAAACACTTATATACTTATTTTTTATTTATTTATTTTTAATACTTTTTTTACATATATATTTTTCAGTACTAACAATAATGTAAAAATTATTTTTTAGTGATTTTTCATAATCAATAAATCAAATCATTTTTAGATTTCAACCAGTGAGAACAATCATATGCATTTTTTATTTTATTTTTTATTAAGTGTGCACTGTCCATGTTTGTTTATGGGTGGCCGGATTGGATTCATATGGCTGTGATTTCAACCATAACTTGTTTGGTGTTTATTTAGGAGGAGAGATTGTTAGCGTGAAAGGTTTAGTGGGGATTAATTTGGGTGAATTTTAAGTGAGATTAGAAAAATAATGAACGAATTTATATGTAAATTTTTTTTTATCAAATGCACCGGTTTGTTTTAATATTTGTTTTATTTTTTTTAATATAGAAATTATTTATTTATTTGTTTTATATAAAAATAATTTAACAATTTTATCACTATCTATCTCTTACACTATCATCAAAACAAACACATTTTTACTTAATCACCTCATTAATAATATTTTCACTAACAATTCCTTCATTAATAATTCTATCCAATCCTAAATCCGTAAATATAAAATTGATAGAGCCCTACAAAGAAATAAGGCCCTGTTTGGGAATAAAAATTGAAAGACTAAAATAGTTAATAAAAATAAAAATAAAAATTTAAAATAATTAATAAATTAAATTTTACACATTAATTAATTATTATTTTCTCCCACAATCATCTATTCAACTACTTCCCAAACCAAGCTTTTAAGCCCAGGCTAAAATAGCCAAAAAAGCTAAAAAGCCAAAAAGCCAACCCACTTCCCAAACGGAGGCTTAATCACCTCATTAATAATATTTTCACTAACAATTCTCTCATTAATAATTCTATCCAATCCTAAATCCGTAAATATAAAATTGATAGAGCCCTACAAAGAAATAAGGCCCTGTTTGGGAATAAAAATTGAAAGACTAAAATAGTTAATAAAAATAAAAATAAAAATTTAAAATAATTAATAAATTAAATTTTACACATTAATTAATTATTATTTTCTCCCACAATCATCTATTCAACTATAAAAAAAAAATCTAAAAACCATTCAAACACAATTTTTTTTTTTATTTCATAAAATAACCCCAAACAAAAAATTATAAAATTAACTAAAATAATCAAGAAACCAAACGAACAGCACAAAATAATAATTACTAAACACAAAAGCATGATGAACACGATCTCATTCGTTAGTGACAACTCTAAACCGTCACAAAAATCACAGAAATTGAATAAGACTTTTATTCACTAAAAATTTGATCGGTACCTTCTTCTCGGGGCAGAAGTTTAGCGTCGGATCGGAAGTCGTTGAAGCAATTCAAAACCAGAGGTACGAAGACAATACAACAGAACAACTTAGATGCTGTTGCAATCGACTCCATCATCGATTTTTCTAACCCTTTCGGATCGATTATGGCTAACGAAATGTATCGATCAGCAACTAGTCATGTCATACACACACTGTAAGGACTAAATTATATATATATATATAGAGAGAGAGAGAGAGAGAAAGAGAGAGAGAGTGAAGAATTTGGAAGGGGGTGAGTATGGAGGTTCCCCTTTTATTAAACAGAAACCAAAGTTGGGATGCGATATATATTATATAGAGCGATATATATTATATAGATATGAATTATATATATATATATATATATATATATATATAACATGGAAAGAGAGAGGAAGAGGGTGGAGAAGAGATTGGTTGGTGGTTAGGATGAATGAGTTAAAGCGGGAAAGAAAGGGTTGATAGAAAGTAAATTGATTTTCATTCTTATATTTTAATAAAAAATCTCATTTTCACCCTCTATTTTTAGCTACCTAGTGGCTGCTGTGCCAAATTAGGGCCCCGTGATTATTTTGATAATTTTAAATATTTTATTTTTTAAATTTACTTGATAAAATATATTTATAAAAAATTAAATTATCGAATATCGATAACTTTTTATTTAAGGTATTTTATTTAATTTTATATACAAAATCACACTACTTATTCATTTTTTTAAATATATTGTAATTAAATAAAAAAATTATTAATATTCATCAAATTGATTTTTTTAAGATATATGGCAACAGCTCATTTTCCTATTTTTATGAGTAAATTGCAATTACCACGTCTTGAGGTTTCTAACAATTATAGGGTCATCCCTTATAATTTTAATAATTACAGAAATTTTTTTTACTTTTTTTTTCCCTCCCGTTAATTTAACCCAAACGATGTTAACTTAGTTATGCAAATGACCATAATACCTTCTAAGTGTAATTTACCTATATATTAAATTATCATTTTATTCCTCACAATTTTATTTTATTTTTTGTATTTCCTTGACCTTGTATTTTTTTTTTCACTATAAGTTTTTAAACTTTTATAAGTTAAAATAAAAAAATAAAAAATCAACCATTAATGAAATTATGAAAGAATATTCATGTTTCTTATTTGAATTAATTTTGAAATTTAATTTAATAAAAATAATTTAAATGGAAGAAACAAAGAAGGAGATATAGATTTTAGACGTAATAAATAACAAATTATTTGAGTATTTTATTATTTTCAAATAATTTATTTCTTCAAGTAAAACCCTATTTTAATTAGATGTAAGAAATGACAAATTTAAATAGTTTATTATTCTCAAATAATTTCTTTATCTTTCTATCATTTAATTTTAATTTATTGTAACATGATTAGATATTTTTTCACTTTTATATTTTTTTAAAAAAAATTTATTATTGACTCAGGTTTTTTAATATCCATCAACTGGAATTTGAAAATTTTAAAGATGAAAATTAAAATTTTAGAATAATATAGGATTTTGAAAAGATAAAAATGATAAATAAAAAAAAAATTATATATTTATAGGGTAACATTTGGTATTTTTTATAATTCAATTTTTTTTATTATAAATATGAAATGTTATTGCTAGCCAACATTGATGAAAGAAAAAAAATGATGAAAAAATAGAGGACAAAGCATAGAGAAAAGAATAAATAATAATAATAATAAATTATATGGTGTTGCTATTGGCTAGGGCTGGGCATAGAGTTATCTAATCGGTGAAAATCGCCCAATCCGAACTACTCGCATCTATATGGGCAGTTTTACAAAATTGTTAGGGTGGGATGCAGTTTTTAATTTTCCTATTTTGCAAATTGTGGACAAGTTACAGGTTTCACAAGCACCTGCAAGCACCCACCCACACTAAATTATTTTTTTATTAGTTTAAATCTCTGACTTTCGCCCAGTAACACATTAGCAGCCTTAACATCCCAATAAATAATTGAGAAAAGCTTCGTAGCTCGAAACTTTTTAGCTCGATTGGCTCGAAAACTGTAACAACCCTCGTCATTGTTTACCGATTAACTGCCGATTACTGCTAAACTGAGACTGATTATGATTGGTAATTGAACTGATTGAAATACTGAACTGACTGACTGAAATCTGGAACTGAATTGATTAAGTATATCTGTTTAATTGTATGTCTATCTGTTGACTGTTTGATTATCTGTTCATGCCTTTGTGTTTAAATTGCGAATTGAAGGCCTTATCGGCGGCCGAGTCTGAAATTGATTGATGATTTGTGATCCTTAGAATTAATATGATTTATGGCATATTCAGTTAAAATGTGATTTGGTATGATTAAATTGGATCAATATTGATAAATTACATATATTGGCTTTAATTACAACTTTGCCATTTGAGTGGGTCACTACACCAAACTTTGTTTAAGGCTTAGTCTTGCATTACACAACTCTTCCTCAGCCATTTTGAGAGCATAGCCGACTAGAGTGAGAGAGTAAGAGGAAAATAGTGTTTTCAACTTGAATTCATCAATTTTAGTTTGGAGATTTGAAGGAAGTGAAGAGAGAGTGCATAATTGAGCCTCCTTGCCTTTGATTCAAGACTTAAGGTCGAGATTGTACCTTCTTGTTCATGTAATCAAGTCATATGTTGCATGGTTTAAGGAAGTTTAGAGATTAAGGGCATGAATTAACTTTAAATTGTTGAATTGGAGCTCATTCCATGCATGCATGTTTGAATTGTTGAGTTGTGAGTTGATTTCATGGTAAAATGTTATATGCATGTTCATATTGTGTTTAAGTCCATGATTTCATCTTGTCCTTGGAAGAATTGGCTCATTAGAGCATGAAATTGAAGCTTTGGAATGGTTTAAATTCACGCATGTTATGTTTGAATTATATTCTTGAAAATTGGTTTGAAATTGAGTTGTTTGAAACACCCTTGGGCTTTGATTTTACAATTGAGCTTTGAAATCATGTTAAACTATGAGTCTTGGGATGTTTTCTGGAAAATTGGCCCAAGAGGATCGAAATTTATGTTTTAAAAGTTGAATTTGAGCTTGAGGTTCAAATCTGGGAATTCTAGATTTTGAACTCACGCTCGAGCAGGGTGACTGGCGCTCGAGCGTGAAATTCGTGCTCCTAGTACTTTGCACTGTTTTGAAGTCCGCTCAAGCGGAATAATTGACGCTCGAGCGGGTGTTGAGCGCCCAATCAAGCGTAATTTTCACCTATCCAGCACTTTTGACTGTTTTGCAGAACGCTTGAGCGGGTAAGTCTACGCTCGAGCGGAAACCTTTGTCTGTTCGCTCGAGCGGAGTAACCTACGCTCGAGCGTGAACCCTGTTTTTTGAAAATTCTGAAAATGATTTTAAAGTGCATCTTTGCATCCTCATCTCATCCTAGGCATTATTAGGCCTAGTTTAAGGCATCTTAATGAGGATATAGATGTAGAACCACACCGAGGCAAATTAGGGATTAAGTTATTATTTTCTCAACTGTGTAGCTTAGTGTGTGTGTTCAATTTGTAAACTGTGTAGGGTTGGCGACTGGGGACGCGCTCTAGCTTTACTGTAGCCCAGAACTCTGTGAGTAACAACTGTGTAAAGATATGTTCAAAATGATTATCTTCTGAACAATTGAACTGTACTGCTTTCTGAACTGATACTGTTAATTGAATGAATGTATGTCTTATATTCTGAACTGTATTGTGGCATCCTTAGCAACTACTGTTTACTATTACTGTTACAGAGATCTTTGTCGGTTCCCTTGTTGGAACCACTACTGTTACTGATTGATGGCCATCATTTACTGTTCGGTCTTTTAAGACCTATTGTTTACTGTACTGTTATGCTAATGGATGTACCACATATGACTGAATGACTGATATACTGAATTAACGAACTGTTTTCATTACTGTAAGGACATTGATTCTTAACCTCTTTACGCATTACGTTATTCACTGGGCTTTAGCTCACTGCTCATATATATATGTAGGTGTACAGGCACCAGACCGTGGTTAGAATCGTCGGGGTAAGCTCCAGTTTTGTCAAGCCAACCATTGTGCCTCACTGCGAGGTTCCGAGCCCGTCAAGTTGTGGCTTAGGGGTGTTTTAAATTCCCCGTTTGTCTCTGTATCTGTTTTGTATAACTGTATAGACTGTTACCGTACTGTTTAATAGGGATTAGGTCCCTAAACTGAATGATTATATATATGTACATACTGTTCTGTACTATTCATGTATATGTGTATGAGAAGTCTTTTTGGCATAAAGACTGTCACAGCTCATTGGACATTGTTTATTTACTGTTTTGGCTTCTGTCATGCCCTTGTACTCTCTTTTACTGTATTACTGTTAAGCAGGCCTTCGGTAATCTTGGATTACTAGCCGGTTACGATGCTAAACCCATAGGGGCAGGTTTGGGTCGTGACAAAAACTCAATCAAATATATTTTTGTCATATTTTTTCTCTCTCTCTCCTCTCTATGTTGAAAAGAAAAGAAAAGTGAAAGTAGAAAAAGATTTGGGGTGAGGTTTGATTACCAGTAAAGAGCCACACCATCTTCAACATTTTGATGAGTAGCAAAGTTAATTGAAGCTCTATTGTTCTCTATATGTATGTATATATATATATATGTGTGTGTGTGTGTGTGTGTGTGTGTGTGTGAGAGAGAGAGAGAGAGAGAGAGAGAGAGATAAAGTTGAGGAGGCTGAAAGCAAGTATTGAAGTGCGAAGCAAGTTAGGAAAGAGGAGTAGCAGAGTTATTATTGCCTAATTCGTGGACATACTTTTTACCGTGCACTCTACAACAATCTTGCTTGGTATTGTTGCACGTTGCTGGTGAGTGGAGGCCTGAAACTGTGCTACCTTGATAAAATTTTTAGCCAAATCGTCTCTATAGGTAGCAGAGGATAGGTTTAAACAATTGGAAGAGAAAGAGGGTGAGACATTGATTTCTCTCTCCAAACCCCACCTATTGAGAGAGTGATAAATGTTCTTCACAGATGGGAGAATCAAACCCATGTGGTGTTGTTGATTTGTGTTGCAGAGGACGTTGTATCCGACAACAATGGTGGTGATTTTGGTGGCTGGGTAGTGGGCTAACACATAGGTTCTGAGCCATGTCTCGGCTACAATCACTGAGTCGATCACTGCTCACAGAAACACCCACAGGAACACCGGTGTGAGACAGTGATTGAAGGACCATTGGAGATGGGTCATGGAGAGTTAGGTGTTATGTTTCCTTTCTTCTTCGTTTTTTCAAATGAAATGTGTGGGGTGTGGGAGTTGAGTTCAGCAC